TAACGCACTTGCTATTACTCGTCCAACGAGGCAGTCGTATCTACATTTATTTTAATCACAGTCCCTCCATCAAAACATAATGAAGACCTTTGAATCACCATTTAATTCCCACGAAAGCTTTGTACTAATCCCACAATGATTTTCACAGAACTAAGCGATAGAAACTACCAATCAATACGATAATCGATTTGCAAACCATAAAATATATTTATGATTGTCAATGGGAACCAGTTTGGTGGTGGTCTCGTGTGGGACCCTCAACTTGACCCGAGAAAGGGCAGCATTCCGTTGCTGAAGTTCGATGCATGTCAGTTCGTGGGTAAAGTATAGGCGATAGCGATTAATGTTGCTAACAGTAAAGATGACTTTATTTATGATCAAGTTTTAGGTTTTTATTAGAAACTAGCTTCTGCCCGCGACTTCGTACGCTAAAGTTCGATGCATGTCAGTTCGTGGGTAAAGTATAGGCGATAGCGATTAACTCGTCGAGTACCGGTTTTATAGACACAATTAAAGAACAATAGGTCGCGGTCACCGGTGACCGCTTGGTGTTTGACAGTTTAATGTTGCTAACAGTGAAGACGATTTCATGATCAAGTTTTAGGTTTTTATTAGAAACTAGCTTCTGCCCGCGACTTCGTACGCGCAATCTCGTTTTCTCCCGTTCCCGTAGGATTTTCAGGACGTTTTCTGTCATAAGAACCATCTGCTGACAATAATAAACACAACAAAAAAATCAGCCAGATCGGTCTAGGCGTTCTCAAGTTATGGCGTGACAACGGGAAACGGGTTTAATTTTTATAGCAGACCTAACAGACGTTGTCTTGCATATCCACTTGAATGTATGTATAAACAAAAATCATAAACATCGACTGCAGCGCATCTGCCGGGCTGATTTGTGAATCGAAACCATTCCCAAATCCCCTTGAACACACACAAAAAATTTCATCAAAATCGGTCCAGTCGTTTGAGAGAAGTTCAGTGACACACTCACAGAAGAATTATATATAGGTATAAAGATTATTAAAAATCAGATGGGCAGAACTTTTTTATTTACTTATTGGTATATGATTGTTCAGTTAGGTACTAAATAGTTTCCTCTTCAAAGGTCTTTGGAATGGCAAACAAACCCAGTATTTATTAAACTTCAGTATCGCCTACTCGCTTTTACTTTAACCCACTCAATTTGCCTAAGGTGATGAAAATCTGAATACAGACCGCTATTTAGCTCAAACATGATCTCTATAATAACGTTGATAGCTTTCAAAATCGTGTGCCCAATGACTTAGCAAATAATATGAAAACAATGACAACTATTGATCAATTCGAAGGTTAAATCCAACCCCGCATATGAAGCTATAATTCCCCAGTATAAGTTGTTCTTGTGTTCTATAGACAGTTAATCTAGTGAGAGGTCAACTTATATTGGTTGGTATAACTTGATATAATTTTTAATATCAAAGTTCTTTTATCTTTTACCATGTTGTGATATGCAAATAATAGTGTGACCTTTACAGGTCAAGTTCTTTGCCATACCAAGTTTTTGAGTAAAGATTTTTGGATAGCCAAGTCAATTGCTTACCTATTGTTCGAAATCAAAAAATCTTTGTTAGCTTTTTGATGACCCGCGGGCATCTGACATACATAAGTCGAAAAACTGCAGACATATAAAAATGGTTCTCTAAAATGTTTTCAATACAATTACGATTGTAACTGTCGAACGACTGCAACAAATTGGATAAATCTTTTTTCTTATATTGTTAAACATTTTACCAGTTAACTAAATACACGTACACTCCAGATAAAACAACATAAATTCCTTTTTTTAAAAATGGCAACGCACCTGTATCTCTTTTGGTGTTTCCATCATTCTGTCCATAGATGGCACTGATTGCTAGCATTAGAAATACTGATGAAATTCAGGCACGATAAAAAATAAAGTACACCTTTTTTGTGATACTAAAATAACCATTAAACACTTTCCATACATTATTGAAGTACAATTCTAGCTACCAATACCAACCGTATAATTTCATACAAGCTTCTAGACTCACACATTTGTACTGAATATAGATGGCAGCACGTCGACCTCGTCCATTCTAACAAAATACTTCAATGGATTTTTACCTTTAACACCTTAGTTATACAGTTGGTAATCCAGCACAGATATATAACAGTTCCAATAAGCAAAAAATGAACTTTAAATCAATTCAGGTAAAGTTTAAAGTGTATTGTAGATCATTGGTGTATCTTGATGTGCTGCTTCATAGTGCACATTCCTCAGTACTTATAGTACTGCCTACCCACTGGGCATGTAATCACTTACCAGCGACAAAGCCTGTAAAGCACGCACGAACTGTTTTTATTTAACACGCCACTATTCTGGTGAATGGGAAATTTGTCATGAACATTAAAATATTATTTGTATTATAAGTTTCTTGAGACGTACTAAATAAATCATTATAATTTCACGTATTTATTTAACGAGGAATTCCACTAGTTTCATTCAACTAGTTGCGACTGTCACGGTCGCCGCGTCGCGGGTCGCGAAATGCTGCTCATGACTATGAGCCTCTAGCATGGCTTGAAACTAGTTGAATTCCTCGTCAAAACAATTACGTGAGTAAGCCGAAAACATAATAATTTATTAAAATACTTATTATATTTAGTGAGTCGGGAAAGCCACCAGAGAACAACCAGATAGCAGTACTTACTGATTAAGCTGAACCTCTTAAACTCCGATTTCCAACCTTGGCAATCCAGCCAAAACATGCTAGCCAACCTTACAAGAATTCGAACAAAAAACACTTAACAACCCAGCCATAACACTACAGCATCCAGAATAAGCCGCGCGGGTCAACATCTGGCCCTTTCACCTCACCCAAGCACTAAGCACCTGCATTTTGATCCGCACGAACCCATACCAGAACATTTCCTACACGTTGTACAAATTAGCCTCCGTTAATTGCTGACCCCCGTCGGTAGATGGCGTTGTATTAAATAAGGGCTTTGTGTAGCGTGAAGAATTCGCTTACATTGTATGCAAAAGTATTACTGGGATATTTTCCGGTTTTAAGAATCTGACTCTGGAATTGTGCTGTGGCATGGCAATAGGCCCGCTTTTAGTTACTCATAAACCAGATACATACTCAATACGTCGTCATCTCGATCTACATACCTTTTCCTATCTTATTCCTCTTTTAAATAAAGAATACTATGCTCACTCGTCCTCCAAAAATGCAGCCAGCATTTTAACAACGTCACCAGGACTAAAATCAACCAAATTTTCGTGTAAATATGGTTCAAAGTAACAAAACTTGCGTTACAATGGCTTTAAAAAACCAGTATTAATAATAGACTACATAAGAAGTGTTATATACAACAAAGGCCTCAATATTTCACTGTGCTTAGGTAATAGGGACAGCCCCCAGCCGTAAATCAAGTCTGTCATCAAAACAATAGAGTTAGATCTCTGGGAATACGATGGTAAGTGATTTCTTTAAACCGTATAAACAACGTAACCGACCGAGTTTCTGAGTTTCAAGATTTCCGGAAGATACGAAATACATAACACCAAATAATATGTTTTACGTGATTCCCAGAAGGAGTACTTAAGTAATAGAGTTCTTATAGCATATCAGATAACTGTCAGTAAGTAGTAGTAGAAGAGCTAGCCAAAAACTAGATACGACTCTTACTTATGTTGTGGATAAAAATCTCAAAAAACCCAAGAATCAAAAAGTTTAAAAGTTCATTTTAAACGATAGGTGGCGCTCTGTGGTTTCTGTCTAGTCCGTACCCGAACATGGACCGAACATGGAAAGGTGCGTTTTTATGTATGCAGAATCGTATTAATATAATATTATGTCGTTATTTACAGCTGAACAATGGCTTCCCCTCATTGTATGCACTTGCAATTCAGACTAACGAAACAATAAAAAATATAATTTTACCTAAGTACAAAAAGATTCAAGATTTTAATCTCAAAAATTATGATGCATAAATAGACAAGATAGTTCATTAACCCGCTTAAGTTCATTAACACAGATGATATAAAACTTGCGAGACTACAAAAACTAGATACGAATTACATTAAATAAAACATTGACATTAAACATTTCTTAGATATTATTGCAAAAAACATTTTGTACTTGTATAGCTCTCTGGTACAGTGGATAACAGAATCCCTAAATAATATTTAAGTGTGGGAGAGCCATGCTTCGGCTCGACCAGAGTAATACCACGGCCTCACAGGAAACCGACGTGAAGCAACGCTTGCGTTGTGTTTCGTCGTGTGAGTGAGGTTACCGGAGGCCCAATTACCCTCCCCTTCCCCAATCTTCCCAATCCCTGAATCCCTAACGATCCTCAAGTTACCGGAGGTTACCGGAGGCCCAATCACCCCCCTTCCTAGTCTCCCGAAACCCCAAATCCTCCACAATCCTCAAACTCCCAATTCCCAAAAGGCCGGTAACGCACTTGTAACGCCTTGGTCATTCAGGTGTCTATCGTTTTTTAAGATATTCTATTTCAAATACATAAATAACTATACTTACAGAAATACATAATAAAACTTGTAGACTTCACATGTGCGATGTAGGATTTTTGTGACGTCATCCGTTAATTTGTTTGATTTATTATTTTGTATCGACAGCCTTTGTGCGTGAAGTGTCATTTGACAAGTGACGTGTGTCGCCACACCTATATCTATGGATAATAACTCTTTGACAAAATGCTACATCAAAATAAGTTAAGCCGTTTAAGAGAAAGAAGATCCAAAAAATACGTACCTACAACAACAATTTAATTTACATGGTATTTAATTTACTAGTCACTCTGTATTCGAGTGTACTAAGACATTTCTGCCAAGCGTATGTACGGCCTTCCGGTGCATTGCACAACCCGCCACAAACGATCTGTTTTCTCTAGAAAGCTGTAACCAATATGTGTAACACTAGACGATTGGGCTATCTTAACCCCTGGATTAATATTACTAATGCTAATGAAAGTTATCGATGATCAAATGGAACTGTATAAAAGTTTATCTTTACTATTTGCTTTGTTGTAACAATAGATTTTTTTATGGCATAAGCCGGTAAACGGGCTGCCGGATCACCTGATGGTAAGCAATTGCCGTCGCCATGCCGGCCTTTTGGCATTTGGGAATTTGAGGATTGTGAAGGATTCGGGAGACTGGGGAGGAGGGGTAATTGGGCCTCCGGTAACGTCACTCACACGATGAAACACAACGCAAAGGTTGTTTCACGTCGGTTTTCTGTGAGGCCTTTCGTGTCAAAGTATGGCTCTCCCACACTTTTTTGTTAATTAGTGGTTCCATTTGGCCTTTGACTGAGAAGTATGGAAGAAGAAGACATATCAGATAGGTAAAATAATTTCTTTTGTAAACATACATCCAGAATCCAAAATACTTATAATTTAGTTTTGTCCGAAAAATCAAATTTTCACCAGGTTATTCGGACGACGAATACGATGGCTTACGAACAAGTAATTTGATTTGACAAAATAATATGTATAACCGTTTGGATATATACACTTTTTTTTAAGGGGGGATAATCGTTGAATGACTGCTCCCGCCTGGGTGAGGCGGGAGGGAGTGTCAGACTCATACTGACTAAAAACCACCCCGTTCCTTCTCCTGCACGTCGAGCCGGAGCCCCGGTTACCCGTTAGGTTCTCCGCGACTATATAATAATATATAGGTACACTAAATTAAGCTTAAAAACTAAACTCCATTCACAAGTTCCAGTGTTCCTTAACAAACTAGATATCACAAGCCTAACTAAGAAAAACGAGCTCCAAAACTAGACTAATCAAATCAACAGAGCAATGAAGCAGTGACAATTAACCAGCAATATCCTCAATTACGTATCAGTAGCATAATCTGTCACTAGCTAACATTAATCTCTAACTATGTACTATGTAGACGGAAATATGATAATTGCCTGGCTAATTGCTACCTAACAGGTGATAGTCTGTGGGAGATATATTGTGACGTAATACGTATGGAAAGCACGCAGTCCAAGATGGGAATGTCAGTACAATGGCAGTTTCACGGAAATTGTTTGTGAATTTTTGACGTTGCGTCTGTTTTGTTTAGTTTGTCATTTGTTTTCGTGGTATGTTTTAATTAGATCTTTTTTGGTTAGTTTGTTTTGACTTAACTCGTTGAGTACTGTTATTATAGACACAATTAAAGAACAATAGGTTGCGGTCACCGGTGACCGCTCGGTGTTTGACAGTTTAATTGAATGTTACGATTAGGTTGGTTTTTGTTGGGTTTTTGATAGCTTTTTGACTGTTTGTCTGAAGATTTTGAGAGATTTATGTGCTTCGCATAAGCTTAGTTCGTTTATTAGACTGCTGCATGATTCAGTCTAACTGACCTTCCCTTTATCATCATCCCTTCCATCAAACACATTGTTTTCCATAGCCTAGGTTTGACCAAAACATTTATGATGGACTGCCCAAATTTGTATATCTGGACGTAGTCATTTTAACATAACATAACACAACGCCTTTTATCCCCGAAGGGGTAGGCTGAGGTGTACATTATGCCACTGTACAATGTAACACCCAGTTTTCACTATTTATGTCATGAGTCCCATGTAATAGGGGGTAAGCCTATTGCCATATACCGGGCACAATTCAGGAATCCGTGGTACTACTGAGACTTTTTTAAAACCCAGTAATACTTTGCCCGACCTGGGAATCGAACCCGAGACCCCTTGCCCGGTAGTCGCACTTGCGATCACTCGACCAACGAGGCAGTCAGCAGTTATCATTTAAGTCGTAAATAATTATATTAGCAATGTGGGTATGTCTACATATTTAATATGTGTTCCTATTTCCCTTTGAGTCTTCAAAACCAATCAATACAACATAACAAAGAATCATCAATGAGTTTCAACTTACGTTAAATCAGGTTATTTGTTCCAGGTCGATACACACATCGTACAAACCAGCAGTTCAAACTACATAACCCTTTAAGTAACTTTCAACTCTGTGCTCCTGGAATAAAGAAAATAATCCATTAAAGAAGATTTACGGATTGGTGTATACTGACGTGCTGGTTACCATGGTATACAATCTCGCAATCATATCTTGCATCCAATACTTGGCTATTGTTTAGTAGTCATTCAGTGTGAAGAGAAAGAACTTCACGATGGTAATGATGGAATTTAAAAAAATATCTTATATATGAATGTTATATTTTGCATCCCTATTTTCTATTGTTCAAGTGTAGGTACTGCCCACTACTGTACTATGGGCCTTCTCTCTTCTCTACATATTATGGGAGCTTGCTATAATGTTCCACTCTTGACAGGCGGGTTGGATCATCATCAACAGCCTATAAGTGGCCACTGTTGACCAAAGGCCTCTTCTCACACGGAGAAGGTTTGAGCATTAATCACTACGCTTGCTCAATGCGGGTTGGCGATTTCAAACTTATAATTTGAAATTCCTGCCTGTCCCCGACTGCCGGGCAAAGGGTCTCGGGTTCGATTCCTGGGTCGGGCAAAGTATTACTGGGTTTTTAAAAACTGTCAGTAGTAGCACGGAGTCTGGAAATGTGCCCGGTATATGGCAATAGGCTCCCCCTATTACATGGGACTCATAACATAAATAGTGAAAAGTGGGTGTTACATTGTACAGTGGCATTAAGTGCCGAAATGTACACCTCTGCCTACCCCTTCGGGGATAAAAAGGCGTGATGTTATGTTATGTTATGTAATTAGAAATTATAAACCCAGGTTTCCTCACAATGTTTTCCTTCACTGTTTGTCAGTGGTGTCTAATTAAGCTTAGAAAGGTATGTACATATAACTTGAAAAAGTCACATTGGTGTTTGCCGTTGGTAGGTTTCGAACCCGTGTCCTTATGTATTCAGAGAATCGGGCGCCTTAAAACGCCATACAATATGTTGGATTGGATATTGCAGTATAAAAAAGTCCTTAAAGATAACAACAGGCTATTTAATTTTTTGTTGTTACTAGGTGGTTTTACAAGAACATCTTCTGGCAAAGCTCAGCTTTCTTAATTTTTTATTCCCACAAAACCCATTCCAAATGACATGATATTCTCAAGTTCCTTTTACAACATATACCTCTAGGCTACATCGTAAATGATGCAATTAAACTCTCTAAAATACCAAACAGAGAGACAAATGAACCAATAAATCAATAATCACAGTGTTTAACAATCACATATCGATATCTTAATCTAATTACCTAAATCACAGTAATTACTTTCGCTATAAAATCGACCGAAGCCAAAGTACGAACAATGAATAATTACAGATCTATTTTTTGATAATGCTAAACTGTCTGGCCAGTACCAACTTCCTTACCGCTCACCAATTTTATTTTGCGTGTGGAAAAGTTGTGAACTAAAAAATTGTAAGCGATTTGTTAGTGTCCGCGAAGCTACTACCGCCATTGTCAACTGCAAATGTAAGTTTGCTAAAACATAACCTACAATATGTTTGTTTTAAATGACCGTTTATTACAATGGCGTTAAAATGATTGCTGATAATATAAATGGTTGAAATTATTATATAATAATGTTCATATGTGATGCAATAATAAGATAATTATGTAAGCGTATGTAACATTCCAACATTTAGCCCTTGGATATTAAAACAATACATATAAACTTTTGCTATTACAGATTATAACACTTGATAAAACAAATGTTATTCTTACAAAAAATTAGCTGCAGTAGCTGTATCAGTCAGTATTATTTTAGTCATTGTGAAAATGGCATAACAACTAGGTAAATACTATATACTTACTAAAATTACATTCAACAAATGCAACTGGCAATGCATTAGATATTGGAATATTTTGAGGTATTTATATTTTTTCAATAATAACACGGAGATTTGAATATGGCAATAACGCAACTGGGCAATATTACTACAGATCACATGTATTGTGTCTAATAATCACATTTTCCTTAAGACTGAAAAAAACTACAATACATAAAAAAGCTTTGAAAGCCTAGTTCCTTATCAACATTTTTTTTTTTTGTTTTTGTTTTTAATCATAATAATATTTATTTTTTTAACAACTAGCCTCGTAAACGTCGACAAGTAAAAGTATTGTACAAAACCCGTTGATTGATAGATTTGAAACTGGATCATTACGCATGTGAACCCGTGTAATACCATTATGACTGTTACAAACGGATACAAGCTGTTAAACCATGCTTATTTGCATACTTCCGATCAAATCTTTTAATGGCGGCTAAGTGAGGCATGGCGATGTGAAATCCAACGTCTTTCTTCTGCTAAGGTGATAAATAGTTGTTTATTATATATTATGTCAGTGTTGTGTATAGCTACCGATATTACTTATATAAATAAGCTGCCTCTTTTATGTAAGCGCAGCAATACATCTAGGGGTTGTGCCCGGGGTCAAGTGGATCAGTAAACTCAATGGTTTTTTTTTTGACTTGAGAATTCTTAATAAATTCTAGAATTGTCATATCACATGCGTCATTAGTTCCTGGCTACCCTAATGTAATCAAATCGTAATCGATTAATATTCACCATCAACAGCCCGTATCAGTCCACTACTGGATTTGGTGTTTGCCAAAAATCCACGAAACGCCCATGCCATTCAAAAAGTTTCAGTTTATAAAAGAGTGTTAAGGAAGAATACCGCTGCTTATTCTCTTTTCAACGTCTATAGTCCCTTATTCAGTTCTTATACCCACGGTAAGAGTAGGGGTGGAGAGTTGTAGACAAAAGTACTCTGCTGACCCACACAACACGTTGTATAATATCAATCCTCCTTAATTATCACAAGTGGTTCTTAATGAGCTCTCGAGTCATGTAATAGTTTTTAATTTGGTAGCGATACTTTACCGTACTGTCGCTAGTCATTTGATCCGCTTGGATGAAAGTAGCGCCTAACTCATTGCGGTCTGAAGGATTAGCCCAATCGTGTGCACTTCCTCGCATTTATTGATTGCTATCGTATTTTAATAGGGTTCTTTTGGTGTTAGATAATTGTAGTATTATGTTTCAAATGGTTAATTATATGAGTTGTGAGGTGAGGTTTTAATTCATGGGTCAGGGGATTTTTCGAGCAAACTGAATACTACCGATACCGATCCGTTGTATCTCCTAATAGCCTGAATATATCTTCTCTGTCGTTTCGCTCGTGGCAGAGCGGTCCCGGTCACGTTGAGGCGACCGTATTTGTGTTGGAGGCCGATACAGCATTCCTCACGATCTCCAGCCATCTCTCCCTGTTTGTGAATTGTATGGCGCAGTCTGACACTAGATTTCCCGTTGCCGATTTGACTTGATCAGTCTAGCGCATAGGTGATCCGCCTCGTGATCTGATTCCCTCTACTTTCCCCTGAATATACCTCTAGAAGCCAATCAAAAACGCTTATGTTTGGGTGCATTTTTCCATATTGCGACCCAGGGACATGAACCAATTTTCTGAGACCCTCAACGATTTGGATGGACTATGGTAAAAAGTTATATACCTAGAAAGTTCTTATATACATCTTAGAAGACCCATTATCAAACAGTGGGCTATCACTTATTGTTGATAACGATTCAAAGAACCCAACTGAACATAAACAGTACCTATAGTGTTGTCCGTGTGCCGTGGGAAAGGTCTGGCGTAAAAGTATCTTTGTGTCTCTATGGTACCTGTTTTAACAAGGATACGAGTTGAATTATAGTTGAAGTGAGTCGGAACTAATGTTCTATGTCTATTAAATAACGCGTTTTCGATAATTGTTGTATGTTGATTTTATTTAGTGATAAGTTCAAAGTTGATTTTTAATGGGGTCCTCAATGTGTTTAAGTTTATTGTGTAATTTGTTAATTAGTATGTATTTTTGTATCATCTTTCCCTGTATTATCTGCAGAAGGATTAATTTAGAGCTTTGTTTACATTATTCCTTTATGCTAGTTTTTGTTACCTTATTACTATACATCCAGTCGGGCATAATTCCAGATTCCTTGTAGTTTTGAGTATGTCATTTAAAATTCAAATAACTACTACGAAACATCAAGCTTTTTATACCTAACCTAACATAATCACATAGGGATACTCCTAACTGTATAGTTGAAGAAATTAAATGTAATACCCACGTTTCGCCAGCCCTAAGTCCCACGTAATAAGGGACGAACCTATTTAGTTATTTACAAGGTAAAATACCACTATTTAAAAAGTAAACGTGGAAAGCGGTTCCCTTTGAAACATTACACCTGGTTTGAAGTCAATATTCATAAGAAGAAAGCTTGCAATATTTCCTAGAAGCTTTAACAATATACACCATTAGCGGGGTCTTTAACTACATAGATTATGAGGCAAATTAACCGAAACACTAGTTGATGGTGTACACGTACATTCTAAACAGCCATATTGTCATTACAACCCATTGCGTGGCGTGGCGTAGGGATGGCTAAAATAGTTTTGCTACTGTGTCCCGACAAAATATGGGATTGTATTGTACTCTAATGCTTATTTTTGTGTAACATTCTTCTTCAAAACCTTTTTCAACTATAGTTAGGAAGGCGCTGAGTTTTAACCAGATTTAGCAGAATGTTCAGAATAGTGTCACTGCTCTGCCCTTTCCAACCGACTAAGGGTTGTTTTTTTATGGCATAATGCGGTAAACGAGCATACAGATTACCTGATGGTAAGCAATCGGCGTCGCCCATGGACTCCTGGAACACCAGAGGCGTTACAAATGCGTTACCGGCCTATTGGGGATTAGGAGTTTGTGAATCTCCCCAATTCCTGAATCTCCAAGATTCAGGAATTGGGGAGATTCCCCAATTCCTGAATCTCCAAGATTCAGGAATTGGGGAGATTGGGGAAGCGGAGGGTAATTGGGCCTCCGGTAACCTCACTCACACGACGAAACACAACGCAAGCGTTGCTTCACGTCGGTTTTCTGTGAGGCCGTGGTATCACTCCGGTCAAGCCGGTCCATTCGGGCAGAAACATGGCTCTCCCACACTTAATTGTTCAGTAAAATTTTTATATCATGGATGTATTCATATACAGGTGGTTGCGTAATAAATTCACAAATTGCTAAAGACAGTTCACTTCAGACTAACCAAAGAGAGTTACTTTACTAAAACTAATTACTTCACTAAAGACAGTTCACAATTCAATGATAATAATTTCTGGTTCGATTTTAAAATACTCCTATTAATGTTCTTTTCGACATCCCTTAAAAACTATTGATACAAATCGTAAAACCTGCAAGATACAGCCAACAGCCAGGTCTGTTTAACGCGGACACAATGTAGACACACTCGTTCCTATTCCATTGTCAATCAGAGCGTCTCGAGTCGCCTCTGACATTCGATACCACGCACTCGATAAATCGATACCTACGAACTTTCACGAGTATCGATACAAGTTACAACTCTAGTTGGCCAGTGGACAGTTAACTTTTTAATTTGTGAAGAGTTCAGTTCTCACGGTATCAGATTTTTTGCAATTGAGTTCGGTGGAGCGATAAAATGTGGTGTAAGAGGTGTCGAAATGGGTGTTGTAGTGTTTTAATTAGGATTATGTTCATTGGGAAGCACTGTTGGGTGTTAATTACTGTCCTTCTTAGAGATTTTAGAGTTGTCGTTCCATCTGAACGTTCTAGAGAAGTCATAAGTTGAAACTACAGATAATTCCTACCTTGAATGATGATGTTCGTGATTTTAATTGGTTTTATTGTAAGACTGCCTCGTTGGCCGAGTGGTCGCAAGTGCGACTGCCGGTCAAGGGGTGTCGGGTTCGATTCGCGGGTCAGTTAAAGTATTACTGGGTTTAAAAAAAAACTCAGTACTAGCATGGAGCCTGGAATTGTGCCTGGTATATGGCAATAGGCTCACCCCCTGTTACATGGGACTCATAACATAAATAGTAAAAAGTGGGTGATACATTGTACAATGGCATTAAATGCCGTAGATAATGTGCACCTCTGCCTACCCTTTCGGGGATAAAAGGCGTGAGGTTATGTTATGTTATGTTATTGTAAGACTCATCTACGAGACGTTCATCTTTACAAATTCTTTCAAAAACTATCAGACAGTTATATCACTTCCTTCGCATAACATAAACCCATTACTTGGTTACCTTCGTCAACACATTTTAAATTAAGCAAACTTTCCAGGCATTTCTAATCAAGTTTCACATAAAGTGTATTGTTAGACTGACATTCCAGACCTAGCAGGTCACCGCGAACCACTTTTAAACATAACCGAGCGAGCACTTTCCCACGAACGACGATTGAAAGGGCACTTTACGGCCTACTCAGGTTACTTCACCCAGCATTTGTACCTAGTTTCCATAAATATCCACAGAGTAAACAATATACTGGTGGACTGTTACCACTTGTTCGAAATTTGTTCGTATTTGTTAGTGATTTGTTTGAGCTATGTACTCTTAAAAGTGTCGACTGGTCAGGTGGACAGGGTGGTATTGGTGAGCTGTGGGCCCCTGAATTGACACTGCTTGAAGAATGAAAAACTGTTCTCTTTCGCCTGACCTTTTTCAAACTATTGTCAAATTGATTACAAATTGATTACAATTTGACAATAGTTTGAAAAAGGTCAATTGTTACGCAATTCAAATTTGCAGACTTAGAAAGAAAATTTTGTTATTTTGGTAAATGCAAGAATCGAGTTCACGTCATGTTGCACGGTAGCCCAGTCGGTGTCTTGTCCTGTATTGCTCTGCGTGACAATTATGACAAAATCTCTAAAATTGTACGACTTTTGTTTAAACTGTCAAACACCGAGCGGTCACCAGTGACCGCAACCTATTGTTCTTTAATTGTGTCTATAAATACGGTACTCGACGAGTTAATTAATTAATAAACCCTATAAAGCTCAACACAGAGATCTGTGAAGTCAGTCCCTGAACTCCAAATGGCCTTATTCTTGGGCCGTAAGCTTCGCATAAATCCGACTCTGTAAGCTAGTGCAGTTAAGAAGCGAGTGCGTCAAAACAATTTCAAAATACAATAAGCAATTTGTAAAGTAATTCGTTTAACATTTCTTGTAGATTTATAATAGATTTTTTTAAATATATTTAAGTAGTAGCAGCGCGACAGTCACCGCGTCACGAGTCGCGAAATGCTGCTCATGAATATGAGCCTCTAGCATGGCTTGAAACTAGTCGAGTTCCTCGTCAAATTATTACGTGACTAAGCCAAAAACATAATAATTTATTTAATATCTTTTAGGTACAAGATTTTCAATTCTACAATTTTATTATAAGTAGATATAGATTAAATCGTGTGGCTCATCACAGAGGATTTTTCGTGATTCGTTTACAATCTCATGGGCACCAGTAGCATCAGTATCAGTTTTTTTTTAATAAATCTATTAGGTACTACAGACGTTACCGTACACGCCCTTGCTAAACTTATTTATTAGGTACATATATTTACAAATCCTCCTAAATAATACATTGCAATATGAGTAGATAAATCTTTTTAAACTTAAATGACTAAATTGAGTTCTTGAAAACTCCTTACATGAGTATATTCATCTAATACGTATATTTTTACCTTACTGTGCCATATTTATCATGTTGTAATTTAAGATGAGATGTGCCTATTGCCATACATTGAACATCATTTCAGTCTAAGTGCTAATTATTGAAACATTTTGGAAGCGACAAAAGTACCCCTAATTTCACTTAGTCCGATTCGGGAATCGAACCCGAGACTCTTTTCTCGGTGGTTGCACTTATGACCATTCGAGCACAGAAGAAGCATAATAAATAATTTATAATGTATTACATCATTCATATTATCAATATATGAATCAAGTTTCTTGTTTTATCAAAGACAAATAAAAAAGCGCCTGAATTTTATATCGCCTCCTCTGTCATTCAAACTAGTTGCTCTTAAGCTATTGGTGCCTTATAGAATAAGAAAAGCAATCAGATAATATATTCTTTAAATTCAACTAATACTCGTAATGTTTAGTTTGGTTTGCCACTAAACCCTCAAAAACTCTAAAACCCAAATCTAAATTCACTGCTTTTAGAATACCTATACATCGCTCTTTAGAATTGGATCCGTTACAGTGACTAAGCTAGCTACAATATTATTTATAAGTCTAGTTCTTTCAGCTGACGTCAGTCCGTACATGTAATATTCACGTGGTTGACGAAAATCATCTCCTGGTCCTTCAAATATTTCAATTAACTCAACATTATGGTCTTCTTTGTATGGCACAGGACCATTATACGAGTTAGGATAGTAATTTGGCACGTTCCACTGATTATATTTAACCGGAGCTCTTCCATCTCGAGTATAGGTCCACGTTTCTACGATAGGTTTATTAACAATAATATTATCGTAATTTCTTCCTAAACGATAGTTCTGAGCATCTCTATATCCAAAGCGACGCGCTTCAAATAACTTGTCAGGCGCACCAAGAATCCCAGGTACTATGTTATCAGGACAGAAAGCTAGCTGCTCAATTTCAGCGAAATAATTCACTTGATTCTGATTCAATACAAGTCGCCCTAAAGGCCTTAAAGGATATTTCTCTACTGGTAATTTTTTGTTACATCAAATACATCAAAATCAGCCTTTTCGATATCATAGAGACTTAAGACTTGAACGTAAGCAGTCCAACTAGGAAAGTTCCCTGCACTTATAGCATTAAATAAATCTCGAGTGGCGTAGTCTGGATCAACAGCTGCTAATTTTTGCGCTGTCTGTGAATCTAAATTCTTCACCCCTTCGTCAGGTGTAAAAGTGAATCTGACAAAGAATTTTTCCCCTTTACTGTTCACTACTTGATATGTATGAATACTAAACCCAGGCATATGTCTGTAGCCATCAGATATGCCGGCGTCACTAAATGTATATAAAGTGTTATATATAGATTCAGGACGTCGCACTACAAAATCCCAAAACATGTTTGAGTCATCCAGGTTTGTTTGTGGATTCTTTTTCCTAGAATGGATAAACGCAGGGAAAAATAGAGGATCTTGTATTATGAAAACGGGCATGTTTAAGCCGACTATGTCGAAGTTACCATCTTCTGTGTAGAATTTTACAGCAAATCCTCTCGGTTCTCTTGAAGTGTCTATGCCACCACGTTCTTGAAGTATTGGAGAGAACCTCACCGCGACCGGGGTTTTCTTTCCAACCTTGTTAAAGATTTTTGCTTTACAAATATCATTTAGATCGTGTGTCACTTCAAAGTAACCGAAGGCTCCTGCTCCCTTGGCATGAACTACCCTGGCAGGTATCCTTTCTCTGTTAAATTTTGTGTAAGTGTCCATGAAGAATTCATTTAAAATCAGGCGTTTGTTTAAGGTTGATTCTGCTTCTTCATAGTTGACTATTTTACCGGCTGAAGTCGTCAATATTCCAACGGGATGCTGAAAACAATTTTGATAATTTATAGTCTTACTTATTGACGTTAATTTTTATTATTAGAATTTATAATAACTCGTTTTATTGCATTCAGCGGATAACATAAATATTATTAAGTGTGAACTAATAAATTAATTAAGACACGCATCGTTGAATATCTGTTAATCTCTTCTGAATCTTGTTTGCATCATAAAATTACCTACTATGAAATCTGATAAATCATTATAATCTAATACAACTTCTCGTTCTCCCTGCTTTACCCATGTAGTATTATGTCCCTTAAAGGTGAAAAATCCCTTGCTTTTGGGGCAGACGAAGAGGACTGTCAGTCAGACTCTTGCTGAATAACAACACAAATAAGCAGCTTGACAGCAACTCAGAGCCATTAAATAAGGGAGTACAGTAGTAGACTTTTCTAGTTTGACGGGTTCGATCTACAGTCAGTTTCTACTCAACTGAATGAGTATCCTAACTCAAGATTTTCATAAGACAACCCCGAATACAGAAAGGCTTATCACATTGAAGTCAAACTTAAAGTATAGTTCTGTCACTACAAATTTATAAATGCGGAGAGAGATAACTTTGTAAATGCGGAGGCCCAATAGGGATGATGAC